TGCTCCAACGGACTCAAACCGGTCAAAGTTGACTTTTTTTTTGGAATGGACTCAAGATGCATAATGGGCCCATTTGGGCTGTCCTTTTCCGAAAAACCTTGGTTCAATGATCAAAAAGCCCATTAACATCAAACAATTACGACTCTGTTTTATTATTATCCACATAATTAAAAACAAAAAATATATATATATATATCCAAATAAAGCACACTTAGGAGACACTTGGCACACACGTGCCATACGGAGACGGCGGAATGAAATTTAATTGGCTATCCAAGTGGACACACGTGGCTTCACTCAGAAGGTAGAAAACACGTGTCCTGGTGAAGTCTCTTGATTCCTGATGAGTGAGTTTCGTATCTCAACTCAAAACTCATCAGGGAAACTCGATATGATTATGATCCCAACTACTACAATTTAAAAGTGAGAGACGTCTATAAGGAGAAATGTTGAGATATTATGTGAACTCAAAATTAATCTCCAAGCCAAACATAAGAGCATCTCTATACTCTCTTTACCTTAAGGTATATGCTCTCTTTACCTATGTGTTTTTTATATTGTGAAACAATTATATATGGATTAAAAGGGTTATTCTTGTTTCATGAAACAATTAGTTGGAATCCAAAGAACTTCAAGTCTATACATAATTCTAGTGTCGTTCAATAAGTCATTCCATTCCATTGTGTTGGTATTTGTAATCATTCCTTCTTTAAAAATTATACTCACAGAGTTTTTCTTATTCTACTTTTCATGGTAGTGATATTTGAAATGAGTTCAATAGAAATTTTAGTAATAAATGTACAACGGGAAAGTAAAGCCGAAGTTCTGTGCTCAAACATTTTACAAATGTGGTAGCTCCACTACATTTAGTGGATCCAAGCATATATAGGTTATAAATTTACAAAACGTTTACAATTTTTTGGTAATATTGCTTCAAAAATCTATGGCATATCTCTTTTTGTAGAGAGGAAGTGCAAGCGGAGGGAGGGACGAGGGTAGAGCTCCTTCGACAGCGGAGGAGTTTACGAGACAAGGTGTGGCTAGCCAGACGGTGGAGAAGGCTTACGATGGGGTGGCTGCGGCGGCGGCAGAAGTCTTCGATGATTCTGAGACGGAGATGGA